CGAATTAGTTTGCCCGACAGAGACGTAATAACAAAAACAGTCGCGATATGAAGTAGAAAATAAAAAAAAATATAAAAATACTGTGAGTGTGTGTGTGTATATATATATATATATATATATATAATATATTTACATTACAATTACAAACCTTGTTGAGTTCACGAGTTATATTATCGATTTTGAATTGTAGCAAAGGCTGTCTAAAATAAAGGGCATCAATGGCAACAATTGACGTCATACGCCTGCAGCTGTCATCCCTTGGTGTCTCATCCACGAAATCTCCTTTCCATTTAAAGGTGTTACTGTAACCTTCATATTTGCTATATCGTTCAATACCACTGACGATGAGAGCCTCGGTGTCATCTAATTCTTCCGTAACTAACATAGTGACCATAAGCTCTGGACATATAACAAATCGTATTTCCTCCTGTACACATCCTAAACCTAGCACACCTCCGCCCACATACCTATTCAAGACAAAACACAGAATTAGTAAATAATAATTCTCTATCTATTCTATCATCTCATATTTGACACATGATAAACTTGCGAGTTTTGAAATTCTACAGTAAAGACTAACTTGTTTGCAAAATCTACTTGAAGCAATCCAGCTCCTTCGTTTTCAATGGTTCCTTTACTTGTTATATGCAGTGGTGGCAATTTTTGATTCTGTATATTCCATTTCGGAAAATTTTCACGTGGAATGTAACGCCGTTCGATTGTTATTACACCTTCAGGTGCTACTCTATGTAAAAAGTGTAACATAATTTAGATTCTGTGTCTATATCCAATTATCATACCAAAATGCATGAATTTTTATTATACAAAAGAATTCACAACTATAATGTACTCACCTTTTGCTGTTACCCTCCTAAAGTAATGGAGAAGACATTTGATTTTTTCCATGACTGATTCACATTGATTATGTTTTTCCTCACTATAGGCAGCAAACAATCTGAAATATACAACCAAAGTATATCTAAAATATACTTATGAGAGAAAATCATATATTCTCTATTTTCTAATAAATGCAATATAAAAAATATATACATTATTCAAAATATTACCTATTGAAGTTAATATATGGATATGTTGCATATTCCGATTGTGGATTACTGGAATTGCGCCTAGGAAATGTACAAAAAAATGCATTTGCTAGTAACGAAGCTACTTGCAATTGGCTTAAACTAATAAAGCTATTAGTGTGACGTTTCAGAAGAGGTATTGCACCGGTTAGCAATATAGGAAGTTGCAGAGCAAGCTGGATTATTTTTGGCATTAAAGTTTTGAAGAAGACGGCCGTCTCTTCCGGGTCCAATACCTTCAATCAAAATTACTTTTAATAAGAATTTTTAAATAGTATAATAGTTTCAGATGTGATATAACAAGTATTGTGCAATATACCTCTGAAAAGAAGTGATGGAGTGCTGCAAAATTCCAACGTTGTGCATAAATTTGATTATATGAAAGTATAGCATTTTCTAATTGTTGACTGGAGAGAATGTTTCTCAGCAAAGCTTCCTGAATCATATCCCATCTATTTCGACAATTACGATCTCCACTTCTCTGAAATATGAAGTTTAATTATATCAGTAATTATCTGTGTATAATATAAAATATAATTAGAGTGCCATTATTATCTAAGTATTTTACAATATAATCATCATCAGTTTAATACTTTTTTTTTATACAATGTATTTCACAATGCTATATTTCGATTTTAATGATAGAATTTAGAAACGAAAATTAAAATTAATTTTTCCTTAACAAATATATATTCAGATAATAATAGTTTGAATTATAAACAATTGTAAAGTCTTTTTCATGAATTAAGCTTAAGAAAAGGCAAATAAATCCCAAAATTATATTCAACATCAGCTAGTTGATCAACTATAATAAAGTGTTGTATAAATATAATTTGAAGCTTAATTATAAAGATATATATTAAAAATTTTACACTTGTAATTAATAATAACTTTCTTCTCAATATTTTCTAAGAAAAATTATATCTAAATTTGTTAGAGAATCTATTCAAAATCTTCTCAAAATTATGTGAATAATGGAAATCTATATATCATACCTGTTCTACTGGATAAAAACAATGTGCAGAACATGGCAATCGTACGTATCCATGGCTCCACTTGTCTATTTTATGTGTCGGATAAGGCTTTGGTGGTTCATGCATAGATAATGGTAACTAATCAGAAAAAAAGATATATATATATATGTATAATAAAAAAATTAATATCAGTTTGTTCTATTTATATAAAATTATACCCTAAACAGCACTGTATGCTTAGCAGAAGAAACAATTGGTGGATGTTCTTGATATTCATATATGCCACAACCTTTACGTATTTCATTCATGCTCATACCCTTCCATTCAGGTATATCGTCAGAGAGTTCTGGTTCGTTAATGTAAATAGACATGGAATCTGCTACAATAAAATATATATTGTGGTATTAAAAGTAACATAAATGATAATATAAAGAGTATCTAAATAAATCCTTACAGTCTGAATTGGCAATGTCAGTGTTCAGGTTTGTTGACAAATTTTCATTCGAGAATAAACTTGCAGAATGTTTCTCATCAAAAGTTACATCCGACTCTGACATTTTATTCTCCATAAAATGTGTCTAGAAACGCATAAAACATGTGCGTAACAATGATATAAAGAACAAGATACATAAAGAAGAGATAATATTAATTACTTTTCCGTGAGAAAAATATGAAAACAATGGACACGGCACTGCAATATAGAATAACCGAAGTAATTGATACAATCACGCCCTCAAATTCTTCTTCTTCTTTTGTTGGATTTACATATATCTACTAATGAGACAAATTATGTACCACGCTGTAAGTAGCTATATAAGAAAATTTTTTGAATCTCGAATTTAAATCATTTGGATTATGTACGGTTGCGTCTCCGATGTAGCCCTGTGTGCCTATGTCAGACTGTGTCTATCGCGCATGTGCGATGCGCGGCGAATGAGCTGCGTTCCGATATTCATTTCCAATAGTGCCAGTACTAAAAATCTACAGTTTACATCACGTGCACTATAGATTTCCAGTACTAAAAATCTATAGTTTACATCACGTGCACTATAGATTTTCAGTACTGGCAGTGAATATCGGAACGCAACCCAAGTGAGTTCGGTGATAAAAGACGATTGATGACATTATCGGCCGTTTTAACTGCATCAAAGATAATTATTTAATTTATACGGTTATTTTAGTTCATCCAGTTATTGTTTTGTCGAAAATGTATAGATCTTTTATGTAACTGCCTCAAGAACAAAATAAACATTTTATTGTACATAAACAATCAGCTGTATATTTTTGACTGGATAAGGGAAGCTAAGGGGAACTGAGCATGTGCAGAAAATACAAAGAAAAGAGACAGTAATAGTTATTACCTCTCTCTCAGCTCTTTTCTAAACAAAGGTTTAGATGGGTGGTGAATTGCGCCCATTCCACTATTACTATAGTTTAGTACATTTGACTGAACGACATTTCACTTCTTGCAAATTTATATTGTACATACACACATTTACTCACGTATCATATAATTTCAAATTACATATAACATTATTGTTAAAAATAAACTTGCAGATTAATAAAATTTTTTTATACGCTATTTTATTTCCTTATTGAGGTATTAAATTGCGTAGGTAGCTTAGTATTTCCTCTGTATCTTTCATTAAAATTGCTTGTCTAGGATATTTGAAACAGTTTCCAGACAATGATAGATTCCTGAAAAAATATGTTTATAAATATGAATGATCATAATGTCGTATAAAAATAAATTTTCAAATATGATGCTATAACTAAAAAAAAAATAGCATATCTAACAATAAGTAATAAAATATTTAAGATATTAAATATTTGTTACCTGAGGTTTTTCAAGTTACCAAGTTCAGGTGGTACATGAGCAATGTTATTATTTGCCAGATTTAAAGTTGCTAGCCTTTTCAATTTTTCTAAAGATGAAACGTCTATTGTTGCAATTACGTTATTATTGGCAATTAAATTTTCCAAAGATACAACATCATAAATGGCTTCTGGTATGTCAATAAATCTATAGAAATTTTTATTATAAGAAAATAAATGGTAAAAAAATATACAAAATAGATACATATGTATAAATTTATATTAAAAAAAAAGACATTTTGCAAACAAATTGCATAAATCTCTCTGTCAATATTGTTTGTAATACCTGTTGAATGAAAGATCAACATCTTGCAAATATTTTAAGCAACTAATGCTCAATGGTAAAGATTTCAAGTAATTTTTACTTATGTCTAAAACTTGCAGATATTTGTACTTTTCACCAATCCACTCAGGTAAGTGTGTTAAATGATTTGAAGTTAATTTCAGGTCTATCACTGTAGTTACTACTGACATTTTGTCAGATAATTCTGATAGTTTGTTTCTACTTAAATCAATGGTCGTGACAGAGGCTTCAGCTGCATTTTCTAAGACTTCTTCCGGTAAATCCAGAAGATTTTGCCCAGCTAAGCTTAGTAGTTTTGTATTCTTCATCATATATCTGGATATTATTACATATATTTAATTTCATTAGTAATTGTCAAATTGAATAACACACAACACATACATTCTCAATATTCTACAGATATTTTTTTTAAATATGATAAATATATATATTACAAAAATTATTGCACATATACACAATTAATAGACTAAGTTAATATTTACATACTTATCAGGGTAAATACTAATACTGGTATTAGATTGTAATAATTCTCTGGTATTTATATTTGTACTATCTGTAATCTGACGTATGTGTGTCACTATAGTTTACATCACGTGCACTATAGATTTTCAGTACTGGCAGTGAATATCGGAACGCAACCCAAGTGAGTTCGGTGATAAAAGACGATTGATGACATTATCGGCCGTTTTAACTGCATCAAAGATAATTATTTAATTTATACGGTTATTTTAGTTCATCCAGTTATTGTTTTGTCGAAAATGTATAGATCTTTTATGTAACTGCCTCAAGAACAAAATAAACATTTTATTGTACATAAACAATCAGCTGTATATTTTTGACTGGATAAGGGAAGCTAAGGGGAACTGAGCATGTGCAGAAAATACAAAGAAAAGAGACAGTAATAGTTATTACCTCTCTCTCAGCTCTTTTCTAAACAAAGGTTTAGATGGGTGGTGAATTGCGCCCATTCCACTATTACTATAGTTTAGTACATTTGACTGAACGACATTTCACTTCTTGCAAATTTATATTGTACATACACACATTTACTCACGTATCATATAATTTCAAATTACATATAACATTATTGTTAAAAATAAACTTGCAGATTAATAAAATTTTTTTATACGCTATTTTATTTCCTTATTGAGGTATTAAATTGCGTAGGTAGCTTAGTATTTCCTCTGTATCTTTCATTAAAATTGCTTGTCTAGGATATTTGAAACAGTTTCCAGACAATGATAGATTCCTGAAAAAATATGTTTATAAATATGAATGATCATAATGTCGTATAAAAATAAATTTTCAAATATGATGCTATAACTAAAAAAAAAATAGCATATCTAACAATAAGTAATAAAATATTTAAGATATTAAATATTTGTTACCTGAGGTTTTTCAAGTTACCAAGTTCAGGTGGTACATGAGCAATGTTATTATTTGCCAGATTTAAAGTTGCTAGCCTTTTCAATTTTTCTAAAGATGAAACGTCTATTGTTGCAATTACGTTATTATTGGCAATTAAATTTTCCAAAGATACAACATCATAAATGGCTTCTGGTATGTCAATAAATCTATAGAAATTTTTATTATAAGAAAATAAATGGTAAAAAAATATACAAAATAGATACATATGTATAAATTTATATTAAAAAAAAAGACATTTTGCAAACAAATTGCATAAATCTCTCTGTCAATATTGTTTGTAATACCTGTTGAATGAAAGATCAACATCTTGCAAATATTTTAAGCAACTAATGCTCAATGGTAAAGATTTCAAGTAATTTTTACTTATGTCTAAAACTTGCAGATATTTGTACTTTTCACCAATCCACTCAGGTAAGTGTGTTAAATGATTTGAAGTTAATTTCAGGTCTATCACTGTAGTTACTACTGACATTTTGTCAGATAATTCTGATAGTTTGTTTCTACTTAAATCAATGGTCGTGACAGAGGCTTCAGCTGCATTTTCTAAGACTTCTTCCGGTAAATCCAGAAGATTTTGCCCAGCTAAGCTTAGTAGTTTTGTATTCTTCATCATATATCTGGATATTATTACATATATTTAATTTCATTAGTAATTGTCAAATTGAATAACACACAACACATACATTCTCAATATTCTACAGATATTTTTTTTAAATATGATAAATATATATATTACAAAAATTATTGCACATATACACAATTAATAGACTAAGTTAATATTTACATACTTATCAGGGTAAATACTAATACTGGTATTAGATTGTAATAATTCTCTGGTATTTATATTTGTACTATCTGTAATCTGACGTATGTGTGTCAAGATTCGAGGTGTACCACATCGGATTACATCTGCTCTTATATTTTTTATATTATTCCCTTTAATTACGAACTGTTTTAGATTGGGCAATATGCCGATGCAGAAAGGTACTCTGTAAGAATATATTAATAATCCATTTTATAACAAATAATTTAAATATATAAGATCATTGTACAAGAAAAAAAAATTTGAAGCATACAAAGATACATTGTTATGTGACAAATCAAAAACTTCCAAATTTATTAATTTGATTATCTCTTCAGGTATTACTTCAATTTTATTGTTTTGTAATGTAAACTTTTTTAAATGTCCTGCTGTTTCTAAGCATTGCGAATCAATCTCCTGCAAAAAAAAAAAAATTATCTTGATAAAATATCCTGTACAGAAAGTTGAATTTTGATCTGTTTAATCTCAAGTATAAATGTACATTAACACATACAGGAATGTTATTGTTATCCAAATGCAATACTGTTAAAGCTGAACAACCTGATATGTCTGGAAATTTCTTCAAATTGTTGGACTGCAACATAATTTTCTCTGCTTTTCGCAATTCACCTAACGGTGGTAATATCTCCAACTGATTAAAGCTCACATCAAGTATTTTTAACGCTATTCATCAGAATATAATATAAATATTGATAAAATAGTAAAATAATTATTGAAAAATATAGACTACTTTTCTTGTATTCATCATTGGTGTAAAACTTACATCTCATACTCGTTATATCAGATGGTAACTCTTTAATCAGATTGTGACTTAAATTTAATGTAACTAATCGCACCAAATATCCCATTCCAATAGGTAATTTACTTAAATTATTATATGATAAATCCTAAAAAGAGACTCATATATAGATATACTTATCTATTTAAGAAATTAACCTTTTGCATAATTATATGTACAATTCAATGAGATATTACCATACAAGTTAACATAATTAAATTCCCAATCTCAGGATCAAGTATACTTATGTGATTACTCTTTATGTATAATTCACATAATTCTTCCAACATATAAAATTGAGGAGGTAAATTTTCTAGCTTATTATCTGATAAATTTAGCACTTTTAATTTTTGCAGAAACCCAATCACAGGTGGTAGTTCTTCCAGTAAATTGTTGTGCAGCTAAAGATGCCATATATATATTAATGTTGACGATAAAATAGAAAAATATTGAAAGCGCTAGATATCTGCACATTTGAGATCATGCAAGTGTTCATATATAACAAATTATTTATACATACATTTAAATTACTCAGTTCTGTTAGAAATCGTATTTTGTCATCTATTACAGTTAAACTGTTGGAACTGAGATCTAAAACTTTTAATGGTTCTTGTTCCCACCATCGCTCTTCTTTATGTTCATAATCAAGTTCAAAATGTAAATCGCGTAATTCCTCTTCCGTTAAATCGTTTATACTCCATATTCTGTCAGGTACTGTAATATGCGTTCATTCAGGATTTTGTCTTTTTGTATTGCAATATTACTTTACTATTGAATTATCAACCAAGATATTTAAGTTGACTTACCTGAGATTGCAAATGAATTTATTTTTCAATTACTTTAAATATTTCTGGCAGTATATGATCAGTTCTATTACACGATTTTTAGCAAAGCGTGCAAAGCAACTTGTGATGATGACTTTTATACAATACTAAGTATATATTTAATCCAATAATAAATATAAACTATTTCTATGGCATATATCGTAAAGCATTGTGAAAATATTATGTATAACATTGATTAAATAATAAAGATTAAACTTATAAGTTTAATGTATAATATAATATATTTTTTTGTAGCAATTTCGAATTTTGACATACATTTATAACTTATAATTTCGCATAACTTAAAAAAAAAAGAAATACAAATTGCACACAAAACCAGATTTATTTAAGATTCTCCATGGACTTACATTATTAACTAAATTATTGATAGATAAAATATTATATTATATTAAAGATGCCAGATTTATTGTACTAATCGCTTGTTTAAAACTTAATACCAACAATATACACTCTATATAATATAAAAGTTTTAATATATATCTTATAACATTCCAAATATAATCTTATACAACACAATAACGAATAATATGCGCATTTCACCTTTTTGCATTCTCATCTGCAAAATTTCGTCATGTACACATAACATCAAAATTTATTATAATCACCAAGCAAATAATTAACAAACAACATTCAAAAAAATAAAGATCTAAAATGTTTTCTGGAAGATATTGACGAAAATATCTGCGATAAACATTTTAACATGAATGCATCATTAACAAGCATGCACATCCGATTACGAGTGTAAGCTCTTACATTGATTTGAATAAAACATGCTCGAAATAATTGTGCGCTTTATTAATTAAATACATGAAAATTTATGAATAAAATATATCAACATCCGATTTCTAAGTCTATACATTTTAATATAAATATGCACAGATTGTATTTGCAAATATGTATACCCGTAGACAATCCTTTCGACGACAGATTCAATTGTCCCGTCTTTCTCGCTCGTATAATAACACTTTTCGACAGTTCGGCATTATCGTCGTTTTTAGTGCGCTGCTTAAATATTGCCAAATGATTGCTCTTCTTCTTGACGCCGCTCATGTTGAAGTTTCAATCTGTCGTAGAGGAAAACTCACCTATGATGCGAATAAACTGAATAAATTAAGCGGAACATGATCTTTTTACGCGTAATTGTTCACGTCACGGATCAGTCACGGATGAGTTAAATTGAGCTGAATAAATTAGATAGAACATGGTTATTTTACGCGTATAAAAGAATGACCGCGACATGCGTATAAAAGATTGTTGTCAGGAAAAAAAAAAAAAAGAGAGAAAAAATGCGCTCTCTAACGCTCTCTTTCGGAAAATATTGTAACCAACTACTACTACTTTTACGATATCGTCGCGGTTGTATCGATATGTTACTTACCGAGTTACCTACCGGGAAAATCGGCCACGTAGTTTCGCACACGTCCACATTTTAGTTGACGTCACATTGTACATAAGCGTTTGATCGGGGGGTGGGGGGCATGACCAAGAGAATACACGAAGAAAAAAAAATATTCGCGGTAATTCGCTATCCGTTTCTCTAAACAGTTGGCAGAATTTGTTATACGTATGTGGCGTGCGGTGTAGTTTTCGTCGACGGCGTCCGTTCTCGGGAAGGAGGATATACGTACGAGAGGAAATACGTACCTGTCGTCGAGGATATACGAGGCCGCGATTACGCGATCTGGCGATAAGGAGGATAGCGACGTGAGATCACCCTCTCGCGCATCCCGGACTTCTTCCGATTCTGCTCGAGATCAAATCTGCCGAGCTCGGCAACGCGGGTTTCTTTTTCTTCCTTTCTCCCTCGGAGAGGCGACGCGGCGGTCGCGCCCGAAGTATTTGCACCACCGGTCGCGACACAAACACAGAGATTGCGGAGTCGAGGAGGTTAAGGGGACGGCACGAGCGGGAGGACGCGCCGTCCATCACCATGAAGCTCGTCGACCACGTGGTTAGGAGCTTCAAGGTGGCGAAAATATTCCGCGAGAACTCGGATCGGATAAACAGCATCGACTTCTCGCCGAACGGCGACACCCTGATCTCCTGCTCGGAGGACGATCAGATCGTGATATACGATTGCGAGAAGGGGACGCAGGTACGAACCGTCAACTCCAAGAAGTACGGCGTCGATCTAATACACTTCACTCATGCGAAGAACACCGCGATTCACAGCAGCACCAAGGTCGATGACACGATCCGTTATCTCAGTCTACACGATAACAAGTATATACGATACTTTCCAGGTCATTCGAAAAAGGTAGTATCTCTATGTATCAGTCCTATCGAGGATACTTTTCTCTCCGGTTCCTTAGACAAATCTCTAAGATTATGGGATCTTCGCTCACCGAATTGCCATGGAGTCATGAACGTCTCGGGACGACCGGTCGCAGCTTACGATCCCGAGGGTCTCATCTTCGCGGCTGGAGTTAATTCAGAGAGCATCAAACTGTACGATCTACGCAGTTTCGACAAGGGACCCTTTGTCACCTTTAAGCTCTCTCAGGAGAAAGAATGCGATTGGACAGGATTGAAGTTTAGCAGGGACGGCAAAACCATCCTGATCTCTACCAACGGTAGTACAATTCGTTTAATCGATGCTTTTCACGGTACACCCTTACAGACTTTCGCCGGATACCTGAACAACAAGGGAATCGCCATAGAGGCCAGTTTTAGTCCGGATTCGCAATTCGTGTTTAGTGGATCTACGGATGGTAGGGTGCACGTGTGGAACGCAGAGACCGGTTACAAAGTTTGCGTGCTGAACGGTGATCATCCGGCGCCAGTGCAGTGTATCCAATTCAATCCCAAGTACATGATGCTAGCATCGGCGTGCACCAACATGGCTTTCTGGTTACCTACTGTCGATGAAAGTGCATAAGACTAATTTATAAGAAATATTGGGCAATGCTGGGAAGTATCGCTCGTCTATAATTTGTGCAAGAGAGAAAGGGAGACAGAGAGGTGCGAGAAGAGAGCCAGAGAGATTAACGGCTAATTAGAGGCAGCAGGAAGATGTACAACTTGGTCGAGCAAATATATTTACATTGCATTATGTGTACAGAAACAAACAACTGTTGTATGACATACTAGTTTCAGGAACGTATCCGAAAGAGCGAACGACAAGTCGCGGGAGAATAGCTGGATCGTCGCTCGCTCACACTTTGATAAGATCCATATAAGGAAATATCATACACCTTTTTCATCTATTATCGTCGTCATCATCGTCTCTGTCGTTTTCATTATAACAATCTAATGTCAGGTTAGCGATATAGAAAGATTGCCAATTCCATGATCTTACTAAAAGTTTCAAATGTGTCTCATATATGTATATAGCTTCTTCCGGTGTACCTATGTGTAATGTTTAACGAGTCCGGAACAAAATCTATTGTATATCGGAAGNNAGAGGTAATTTTTGTATTTTGCGTATTTTGTATCCATTTCCGGGCAATTATCTTAAATTAAATTACACGGTATTGCCGATAAATCGTTCATCATTATTCAGGACGCGCAATTGTTACATTACATTATCGTTACACGTCTAATACTTCATGTTTTTTATAACTCTGGTCTCTGGCGTGCATTGTCTCGGAAATAGGATTAGAATGATTAATTTAATTAAGAATTATAAAAGGATGTGTGTGAATGATTACCAAATAGTCATTCGGAATCTGTGATTAATTACGATTTTTCGATTAATCTGATTCGCATGGCCGTATATAGGATAACGTTGATTTGATGAAGTTGTAAAGAAATATCACTATCGCGACGCGTGACATTAATAACTTTGTTTATTCGGACGTAAATGATCAGTTGTAATCTTATAATTCAATGTCATCAACTTACAATTTTTCTTTTTATCTCTCCATCATTCACGCGTTTAGTGTTATATATGTATGTAAAAACGTACGTTTAGATAATTCTAAATAATATATCGAAATAACAGCTATTATATGCGACACGAAGATTTAGAATCGGCATATTTAGCTTTAAATGTGCGGTACATAGAATATCGTCTGTCGAAGTCTATGTAAGCGTATAATAGGTATCGAACATCTTTCTCGCTTCTGTATACGGCTATGTCTAATCGTTGTATGTATAGATTGTCAGTAATACGCCTTGTATACATATACACACACAGCGAAAACAAGTCGAAAACGTATTTATCATATATGTGACGGATTCCAGGCATCAATAATCAAAAGTGACAAAGAGGAGAGACAAATAATCACCGATATCGCGTATGGAAAAAAATATCGTTGTCACTTTTAAATACGCTGCGTTCGAGAAAATGCAACGACCATCTCAAGAACAATCGGAGCAATGTTTTTCTCGCATTTTACCCGTAAATGGAGACGATAATGATGATCCAGTGATTATATTTGGTCATCATCATCACCATTCATTATCGAAAACATTATACTCCCGAAAGCGTAATCTAGATATGCGACGAACGATAGAGCGATCGACTTTATTTATTTTGCACGATAATAAATCCGTTATATAATATCGACATAACTCGATCATAACTACGATCTTAATGAAACAGGGAAAAAGAAAAAAAAAATAAAGTAAAAAGAGAAGAATAACATTGCGAATTTCTACGAATCATCGCGCGATAAATAAACCGTTGCGGTGTATATCTGTCATGGACACGTATATAAACAATCATGAACAAGTTCTCGCATTCGCAAATTATCGTAGATACGCTATCGTTTTTAATCTACATGCGTGGAACACCGGCGGGCCGGGTAAGAATTTACATTCGATGTTCTCGTAGGAGCAAATGCAAATTCTCTTTTTATCTTTATAGATGCTATTTAATATATATCATATATATGGACATATATATA